CTTCCTATTGTGTTCTGAATTCTGTTTTTATTACAAACAAATGTTAGAATATTTTAATCAAAGGAATTAGAATTTATAAAGGATTTCCAAATGACTTAAAAATGTTGAAGGACAACATCGTGATGCATTCTACACATATTCGAAGTAATTCAAAAATATGTGTAAGTTAACCCGCAGTGGGCCAGTGTTATTGATTATAGTCTAGTCATTCCTAACTTAGGGTAGGCTCCAAGCTCCTCAGTGGGGACTTATAGTTGATGATCACACAATAAATGGTCTAAACCTTGAATATCGATTGACTGGACTAGACAAGAATACGACATAATAATATTAATAAAAAACAAATAACAAACATATAAGTTACAAACTGTATTTACTCGCTTTTTTTTTGTCAAAATAAGTCGTAGAATGTACTAAATAACAAAAGTTCGAGTAGTAAATGAACGCTAAACTCAATCGAAGCGTCAAAATAACAAAATAAACGAGAAAAGAATGATGTTGTTTGTTTAGGTTGATAAACAAATTTCTTTAAAGGTGCATATTTCAACGGTAAAGAATGGAGAAATTACTAGTAAAATAGTGTTTAATATACACATGGGTATAGTATACTTGATCGATTACTTCATACAAAAACAACTAAAGAGAAAATAACAAACAAGTATATCAGTAACACATTTTTATCAGAAATTAAAATTTCTGTCCAATAGCAATCTCCAGAAAAGTCACACCAGTGAATAACCTCTCTAACGATCGAGTAAGAATTCATCCTTACATTTTTAGAGCGGTCGCACACCTTTGACTGATCTGTCGCACATACGTGCGCGATTGTCGATTGTTTCGCAGCCAATTCAACTGTCCAGTTGCACAACTAACAGTCCAGCACCTCCATATAAGCTCATAGGATTCAAAGCGCGACTAAACATTTGTCAAGGATGTGCGCCCGCTTTAATCTATGTCTACATATACTAATATTATAAAGAGGAAAGATTTGTATTTTTGTATGTATTGAAATAACTTAAAATTTTAAAAATTCTTTCACCATTAGAAAGGAAATTTATTTGTGAGTAGTAAAAACAGGCAAGATTAATGTTCATTTATTTGAATCAATAACTAAGCAAGATGAGGAAAATAACATTGTCATAAAATATAAACCGCTTTGTTATTTGAATGTGAAGCGGCAATAAGTGCAGATTTATTGAGAGTAATTTATATTATGTGGTTGCATTAGTAAACATTAAACAAGTTAATTATACATAACTAGCTGTCTCCCGCGACTCTGTCCGTGTATTATAAAAATGAGTATGTGTTATTTCAGACTATCCTCTACATCTGTATAAAATTTCATTGGAATCCATTCAGCCAATTAGGCTACAAACATCTATCTAAACTTTCGCATTTATAACATTAGTAAGATATATATTTGAGGAAGTCGTTATTGGTCATGAGCGTTGTAATAACTGTGAACTATACAGTACGTCTATCGGGATTTCCAACTCCCTTTTGTAAAGAGCACTTTGAGCGCACAGGATCAATTCGTGATATCCAATTAACGACTAGTAAATATTACTGCATTTACTCTACTACCATTACAAACCTCAATATTAGTAGATTGAGTGGGAACATTTAGAAGTAATACTAACAATTATTTATATAGATATATTTATACTAAAGTTATAAAGAGGATACATTTGTATTTTTATGTATTAAAATAACTCAAAAACTACTGGCCCGAGTAATTCTTACACCATTAGAAAGCTACCTTATCACTAAGAAACAGGCTTATATACTACCTTTTTTATTTCCTCGCGGACAAAGTCGCCAACAAGAGATAGTTTATAAACTCAAAAACTACTTATCATATTAAAATTTTCATTTAACATAATGGAATTGAAAGGTTTTCTGCATAAGTTTCCGATTTAACTTTTTTAAATTTGTATTTCCCCTCCATTTAACAACGCAAAGCCTGGATAATATAGTATTTCGTGCGTGTTTCATACTTAGTATTAGTCAGGGTTGACCAAATCACGAATGTGAAGTTTAGACCACTCCCCTAATTAATAGCGGAATGACCCAATTTAACCCGAAAATGCACAATTAAATTTATTTTTCATCCCTTTGTTAAATGATAGAGCAAATGTTATTTGCAAACGAAAAATTTATCACCCTATTTGATACGAACGAATGCAAATTATTACATTACCAGCTTTCGCCCGCGACAAGGTCCGCGCGACAAAAAACAAAAGAAAGTGGCTATATGTTCTCCTAGACAATCCTCTATATCTACACTAAGTTTCATAGACATTCGTTCAGCAGTTTAGGCTACAAACTTTATCACACATCTTTTGCATTCATAATATCAGTAAGATTAATGCGTGTTTCAATTACAATGCATACAATGCTGTCTCTGTTTTCTCAGAGTGAGTAAAAGGGATGGCAATATGCATTAATAGAAGGCATTCTATGTTAATAGGTAGTTTCCTAATTGAGTGGGCACGGCATCTTGACCCTAATTGTTCTATAGTGATTTTAAGACAGGGTTACTCTTGTGTTTATAGAAGGGCATTGCCACGGGCCACAGACGATACGACGGGCAGACAGTCAATTATAATACTAGCTGTCTTTTGACGTGCAAGTTAACTTTTATATATGAAAGTTGCTCGTATCCAATACTGCCCTCTACGGGCATTGTTATAATATGCTAAGAATTTTATCGACTACTCGCTTTCGCCCGCGACTTCGTCCGCGAGTAGCCTATGTGTTCTTCCAGACTATCCTCTACGTCTATGCCAAATTTTATCGAATTGCGTTCAGCCGTTTACGCTACAAACTCAAAAAACATCCATCCATCCATCTAAACTTTCGCATTCATAATATTACTATCTTTCGCCCGCGACTTCCTCCGCGTGATATTTAAAAAAAAACTGAGTAACCTATATGTTCTTCCAGACTATCCTTTACGTCTATGCCAAATTTCATCGAAATGCGTTCAACCGTTTATGCTAGAAACTCAAAAAACATCCATCCGTATAAACTTTGGCATTTATAATATCATTATGATATAGTAAAATTGATTTATGACGACCTGTTTGTTGACTGAGATGACGTATGATAGAGGCATAAGGCAAAATTGTTTTATATCGACCAGTCGAAGAAATTCATTTGTGGGACTTTCCAGCGTAAAATAGACACTAAAAGCATATTATTATATGAACAGAAGTATTTTTATTGTGGACAGGCCTTTTGAAGTAAAACAGTTCTTTAATTCCGTCTGTCGGTAGTATTTAAACGTAGGTTAGAGCAAAATTGGATTTTTTTTAGATTTCGTGACATATTTTGTGTTCATCAAAATTCCGAAACATTATGCGCCTGTCTTTTGTTGTATTTTTCATCTCTAAAAATAATACGACTACTAAAGCCTTCAATGGATAAAAATATAAGCATATTCCTCTCGATTCTTGGCAGCTTCATAAATAAAACAATACTTATAAGATTTGTTAGTATAACTAATATGAGAATGGATTACTTGGGATCAGACAAATTTATTACCCATTCTGATAGAATACTCGAATATCTCACAATATTACGAGGGATTGGGGATTTTGTTTAATTTAAATGAAGTTTTTATAAACGTCATGTTAATACATTTATCTCACGATTTATAGGAGAGTAATATTCCATGCAGATATTTACATATATACATATAAAAAATCGTTTAAATTTTTTAAAGATGTTTTTGTACTCTTAACTAGCATCTTATCACCACCAGTTATAAAGCTTCTCGCGCCTTGGGCGAGATTTCTATAGTATCATCTTTTTTAGAGATGTTGGTTTACATATGAGACTAAACAATATGCGTCCTAGGTCGGCCATCTTTACTACCCTAACGGCATAGCATGGTATTGCTTAAAAATATAAATTGAAACCAGTAAAATTCTAGACTTCAACAAGTGAGTCTTTTGTACTACAATACTTATCTCCCAGGACGTTTTTACACATTTTATGAGATTATGTATGTTAAAGTCGAGCTACAATTAACAATCTAAACGAGCTAACGAGGATACGACATAAGGAATTTCCTTAAACTACGCAAAACCCACATGAAATATAAAAAATATAGAATCAATGCCACTAATGTATTCATATTGTTTATCATTTTACTCTTACGAAACATTAATACTTTACGAAATTACTACATTTCGCCCGCGACTCCGTCCGCGTAAAGAAAAAAAAACAAAAGCAAGTAGTCTAAATGTTCTTCTAAATTACTCTACGTCTATGCCAAATTTCATCAAGATCCGTTCAGCCTTTTAGGCTACAAATTCTAACAACCATCTATCAATCTAAACCTTCGCATTCACAATATAAGAATGATTTTATTATTTAAACCGAGGTAATTACTAACAACGAACGGCTAAGAGATAAGTGACCCGTGAGAGGTTCCTCATATGAAAAGAATTTTTGAGTGTCCTACAAAGTTTCAGTCCTATAGAGTCTTACTACATATAAATAAATAGAATTACTTAATATAATAAACTTTATATTATGAAAACCCCATCAAATTAAAGATAAATTTACGCTGATTTCTTCCCGAAAGGTTAACGATTTTTTTTTTCAAGCAAAGGCTCTTTGCAGCTCATAATTTTCTATTGTCTTTACACGTATTCATATGCACTCTACAATATTTTTTATAACAGATACATTAAAATGTCACGTGCGTAATTAAAAATACCCAATTAATTAAATGTTCTCGGCTTTAACGCGTATGTTAAAAATCTGATGTCGGTCCCAAAACAATTGAAATTCGCGGCATGTTTCTATTTCACCCCCGTAGGCGCTGTCAGAGAACATACAGTCATTTAAAATTGTCCCAAATGAATCGTTTACACCACGAACCCAAGAAAGCCACAGACTAAGCGAGGTCCTCTCACTTATGCCTCTAATACCGCAGTACGCTCACGCGAATTTATCAAATGCGCGAGACGATTCTGTATGAACTACACTTGTATTCAGTGCTTTTGAAGCTTTCGTAGAGGTTGGACGTTCGCTGATTTTAAATTTGGAACGTTCATTTTTACGCAACTTGAACTGAGATGAGATTTTGTTCGTTATGATTTTTGATTTTTTCTTTGGTTATGAATTAAATGATGATTTTAAAAATCAATAGACTCGATTAGAATAATTAAATTGTTCTTAACGTGCTGTGAATGTGTATTATCTAAGATGGTTGAGAGAAGTGTACTTACGTTTACATCGTTATTCCTTATTGGAGGTGAGTTTTGAAGAAAATTTCTATACTTTACAATTATATTTTAATAATAGACGGCGTCTGAAGATAATGCAGTCATGACTTATTATTTTAAGTATTTTAACCCGAATGATAACCTTTAAAATCTCAGATATTTATATTTTAATTACATACAAAATAAATAAACATGGGCTTACTACATATTACAAGAAAATAAAATAAGGTATTTAGTCCAGTAAACAAAGGTTTAGATAACTATGCACAAGGAAATATAACAATAATTAAAACACATTGAATAAACATAACAATATATTCACGGTTGTAATCAACAGATTTAGGCAGAGACTCATTTGACGCATTCCTGACACACTTCTCACATAGCATTCAATTTATAGTTACAGGGTGAGTGAGCCGATTTGTGCTGTGCTTAGCATCAGCTAATCTTATATCAATAATAAGTTTAAAATCTGACAGTAAACTGTTATTGTCAAAATTGTTTGTCATTAAACGTAAAGTCAAAATTTGCATTTGAAAAATTACACCGTTACAAAATCACGAAATCTGACGCACATTCTTAGGTTAAAATCTCTAGCATCTGACAAAAGTCAAGTTCAATTAAAGTCAATGGTTATTTTACAATATTTGTTTTGTGAATCATAATATAATCGTGTAAACCGATAACAATTTCATTCTTTTTTCGATATAGAAATTTACGATTACTTTTTTTTACATTTATTTTTTCATATAATTAATGGGTTTTGTATATTGCTAAATTAACTTAGCGTAGTCTTAGGTATGCTAATTATACGACGTAATACAACCTGAAATTACTAGACAATTAAATGACAAGATTTAAAACTTCAGCATTTAATTAAGTCGTTCCGTTAAAATCACGTCCGGATGAAATCTGTTCCCCTTAACTAACTCCAAACTTAAAATGGAACGAAATTCCGACGAGAAATAAAATGTTCCGAACACCAATTGCCGTTGTTCATGATTCCTTTACTACATCGCAGTTACATTAGTACTAGTGATAGGAAAGAGCGCACACTTACGACTGTCGCACAACTCTTTAGTCTCGCTTTGATTCCTATAAGCTTATATGAAGGTGCTCACACTACTCGCATATTAGTTGTGCAACTAAACAGTTGAATCGGCTGCGAAACAATTGACATGTAATTTAACAAATAACTTAATTTGAATAAATAAATTGAAATGAGACGGGTTTAAATTTTCCTTAAAAATAGCCACCTATTTCCAGAACAATTCCAGTTCTAAATTTGAATAATAATCTAATTTAATATTAAGGAAAAAAACAAAGGCAAATCGCCGAAATTAACATGATATAATTCTAAAACGATAAACAAATAAATTGTTTTAAATACATGTAATAATTTATGGGAAAACATTTAACACAAACAGAATTTTTAGTACTCACTAGCTTTTCCCGTGCGGCTTCATCCGCATGAAATTAATTTTACATTAATGTTTACATTTGTCAAGTTCTCAAATACAAATGTCAAAATAACAATTACCTTACTATGGCAATCTTGCTTCTTGATGTTGGCAGCTCGTATCATATGGTCTCTTTCCCACATTAGGGTTTTTATTCAAAATATTTACCCCCTAAGTTTAATGGCGTGAAAATATATAGCCTAAAGCCTACGTAAGTGTAGGGCGTTTTATTAAAAAAATAATTATTCAAATATGCTGTAATTGCTGGCAACTTAGGCAACAAATAAAGTGTGTGTTTACGCTTTATTATAATAGTATAGATTAAAAAAAGGTATGGTTAATAGAACATGGTAAATATTTTCTATGCATCTCCTCTTCTGTTAAAACAACGCATCGGTAAATACGGATTTATATAAGCGGCTGTCAGTTTCTTTTCTGGCGAATTCTGATTGCTGATTTCATATAAAAAAAAAACTCAATGCTCGTATAACAGAATAAGATTATTTTATATATATATATATATATATATTGTTTTTTTGAATATCTTTGATAGAAGATTATGAAAATGTGATCTCAATACGTTTTATGGACGTGTTGGAATTAATTTTCTACAAGCGCGTTGTCACTGAAGCGATGTGGAGACAAGACGTGTGGGATCAATCGATTTATTGGCATTCCACATAATGTCTCGTTCCGCTCCAGTAATCAACCTTGGCCAAGTGAATTATTTAAATTACAAGAGACTAGAATATTAGAGGCCTCTCCCACCACTGATAGAGGCTCAGATAGTTTAAAAATGACGTCACTGATGTCACACGTCATATTTTACCGTTGGATTGTTATCAGACAATTTACAATTTGGTGGGACAGGCCCTAAGTCAAAATTCATGTAAACGTAAGACTTATTCTACAATTCTTCCAAAAAAATATTTCTTAAAGGTTTTTGAGCGTTAAGAGCAGCCGCACTCCTTTGACTAAACCATCTCACAACTGATGTGCGATTGTCGATTGTTACGCAGCCAATTCAACTATTGAGTTGTATAACTAACAATCGAGTAGTGTGCGCACCTCCATATAAGCTCATAGGAATCAAAGCGCGACCAAACAGTTGTCCGATAGTTTAGTCAAAAGTGTACGTGCGCTCTTGAGAATGTTAAAAATGGGAATCACGATTAACAGCATGTTTTATATTTTTAATATTTTATTTTTAGAAGCTAGATGGAGCGGTACTTAAAATAAGTTTTTTTAAGAACAATTCTTTCACAAAATTTTACATCATTTAACAACTAAAATAAGTACATACTATTGGAATTATCTGCCACGTAATAGTTTACAAATGGTATGAGACAGATTTTATGGATTGTCAGTTAAAGACAAAGTGTTCTTTGAGACCGCTATCTTCAGTTGACGTCAAATAATATCGAATGATATCATCCAGTCATAAGCGATGTTTCCCAATTGGTTTCGAGCTTCCTTTGTCAATTGAATCAGACTATTTTCATCACCAACTCACTATACGTCCAACTGAGAGGATAAGAAACTTTTTGTTTTTAAGAGAGGGAATGCGTTACGCTTCCAAGACGCCTTGGGGAAAGACTGACAGGGTATGTGGGACTTTCTCCACATCTCTGCCCAAATACAAAAGAACGTGGAGCCTACCCACTAAACCCCCTCCGGTTCCCTCGACTTCACCGTTTACCTACCTTAAGTTAGGGTGACTAGACCTTAGTCTTGTAGAAATATAAAAGAAATAGTTGATTACGTTTAATGGTTTTGTATAAAATTTTAACTCAATAGTTTTTGTTTATAAAAAGTTTAGACTTCGATTTGACACAGCGCAATTTTTTTTACACACATAAAATATATCACAAAATAGTTTATCATTCAATTGACCTCAGTACAAGTGATATGTAAGTAACTGAAATATCACCCATATTGTTTAGATGTTATAAGAATGGCATAAAAGATGTGATTAGATATCACTAATTCAATGTGACCTCAGGAACGTTCTCGTGACATTTAGAAAAATCGGCTTATCTGGATATTGAGATTTTTCTAGAAATCTGTGTAGAATAAAAGATTACCTTGTTTATCGTACCTTGTACATATGTCAGTGTCGTCAGGTAACATTTGGTATTCAATTGATTCTTTACAAGTTGAGCATTTTTTAGAATAAGGGTTTAATTTGTTTTTGTAGCTTAACTAATATTAATGATCTGTAGATCACGGTTTGCATGCGTTAAGCCGATCAGTTTAATTTTGTATCTTTACAAAGGTATGGTTCGCGTGAGCTGCAAGGCTTATCAGCTGCCATAGTTATAGAATAACTCAGTTAACTATGAGCTGCTCATTTAGTTGTTGAGCCGCAGCTCAACGATTCAATACTATTAAAACAAAAATTAGTTATCTATGATGATTACAAATAGACTAGAGCTGTCAAAAAAGACTTTCGAAATACCAAAGGAACAGATGCGTTCTTTGAGCTATTGATATCTGAGCCCATAAGAGTTTTTTGTTATAGGACATTTAACCAATTTATAGGACCCTTTAACTTAGGTAAAGTTAAAGGGTTTACCAACGCCAGCCAGCGTTATTATGGTGCGTGGTTACATAACCTCAGACCACTAGACAGAAGTGGGAGTCAAAGTTAGCTAAATACATAGTTTCACGCTTGTTAACTTTACCCCCAAGCATGATAAAAAGGAGGCGCCTAAGTCTTGTCCAGGGCACTAGCGTTTAAACCGGTACTGGCATTGTGTTCAGTGTGAGATCGGAGTATAAAGTTACTCGGCCACATTGTGCTCTTTTATCTAAATAATGGAGTGTCACACTTCGCGTCGCAATAATGTCGTGACTAGAACAAGTTTCATTTGATACTTTGTAAACTTAGAAAACGCATTGTTTGTTATATACGTTAGTTCTTTTATATGTTGTTAGAAATTTGTATCTATTTTCTTTTTAACATTGCTTTTATGACAGCAAATTCATTTATGTACAGTACGCAAAAGATATTAGAACAATTAGAGCGGGCGCATACCTGAAACGAAACTGTCGCACAACTGTTTAGTCTCGCTTTGATTCCTATAAACTCATATGAAGGTACGCACACTACTCGATTTTAGTTGTGCAACTAAACAGTTGAATTGGCTGCGAAACAATTGACAATCGCACAATAGTTATGCGATAGTATAGTCAAAGGTGTGCGCCCGCTCTAAACAAGAATGGTTTATAATTAACAAATAACAATGATTATCATTTGAAATATTCAGATACGGATTTTACAGGAGACTTTTTTAAATTTAAAACATCAAGTCAAAAACCAAGTATCTAAGCCATAATACATTGTTTTTAAAGCCAGTAACATAATGCAATAACTAACAAGCAATATAAAAGGTCCTACACGTTGTGGATGACAAGTAAGTAATTGCTAGAAAATTAATAAACGATTTACTCGTAGTTGCCTGCGGCTTTAGAACAATATTATTTTTATTGCATGCCGTCGACACACTGAAGGTTAATAGGAAATGTTTTTATTTGTATTTATATTATAATATTGATGGCTACGTAGA